TAAAGATCTTCGTTCAAGCAACTTTCGTATGGCTATTTGAGTTGCACTTAAGTTGCTGCCTGATTCTTTTCTTTGGAAAGCAATAGTGAAAATCTTTATTATCCTAATTTTATTTTTTAGTTTAGTGCGCTCGAGGAAAGTAAGGGGAATTCAGTTACTGGTGAATGATTCGATCGTTTATCGTTCGCATGTACCAGAATTTATTCTTAATGTTTCCGTGATTATCGATACGTAGTTACAGCCACATATTACTACGACTGGCGAGGTCGATACATACAGTGACTTCCAAACCTTTCTAATTAGAAATTTCAAGAGACGATCTTTTCCTCTGACACATAAGCCTCATCGTTATGTTTTTTGTAGTTGTGGTCTTTTGACTATGACTATGGAGAACTGTGGAAATGACTATGGAGAACTGTGTGATGCTGTTATCCATATAACATTACTGGATGTTTTTGTGTTTTAGCTGCTGCCATTCCAAGCAGCGACGCGCCTTTCTTTTATGCTTTGAACAGGTCTCCTTACTGGAGCATTTAAAACTTCTCACATCTTTGTAAGTCCATAGGATGGCTTGTGATTGTTAGCATGTCATGGTTTTATTCTTGGTGAGCTTCTATAACATAGTTGGTACACAGTAAAAGAAGTGATGATTCGATGCAACGTTCAGTGGTGCATAACCATTACTCTCTGGGCTATTCGCTTCAGAAAATAGTGGCGTAGAGCTCTAATATTTAAAGCAAGATGATGTCACGCGCTGGTTACCGACGCATGGCTTAATATACAGCTGATAGGTGGTCATCCGGAAATATGCTAGGAGTTCCTTTCAAGGCTGATTGGTGCTCAAATTTGGTGGTGCATGGCTGTGTACCCGATCTTTCACAGTTTTACTTTCATTAACAGTTATACTGGAGGTATGTACTATAATACTATATAGGTCATCGAGCGTTAATCTTGTGCCTTGTGGTTCCAAAAAATTTAGGAACTTTAGTGACAACTCAAAAGTAAATATATTCCATGCCTGTCCATAATAATATCTCCAACAATGGCAGGAAATATAAAAAATGCAATGGTACACACTACACAATGCAGTGCAGATGTTATTGCCTTTGTATGCGCAAGGATGACAGCTCCAACTCCAAGATGAGAAGCATTGGAGCTAGGTTGCTATGGATTCAAGCCTTTACAAGCTTGGCTCATTTCTTTGTGTCATTGGAGAACAGCATATGTTTGCAGTCAAAAGGTTGTGGTTTTAACTTCTTATGTTGTCAAGATTCATTTGGATTGAAATAGGAATACCGTCAAACAGGGTAAAAAGGGACGGTTTTGAGCATTTTTTTTAATAACTTCTTACCATGAAACATTTCAGAAACAAGTTTAGGCTCATATTATAGCTCTTTACGAGGGCTATCGAATGGCGTCTTCAAAAAATTCCATATGCTATTTGTAAGGCGCTAGACGCAATATAAAAGGCTCCTGAATTTATCTTGAAATGGGGTAAAAAGGGACACTTGAAAAAAAATCAATTTCAAACATTTGAAACAGAGTGTACTCATCTATTACTAACAGTACTCTGAAGTCGTCTTTCATTGTAGATGATGTAGATGTAAAATAAATGACATTTTCTGTCATTTTTACTTGTTTTTCATTTATTGCTTTGATATTACCATATTCACTAAGTATCATATTATTAATGCGATATTACTGTATCCATCGACATGCCATTGAGCATTGACAACGACCTTGTCCACTGCAAGCTTCATATCAGCAGCCATGTAGCATGTCTTCTGTAGGTACCTGTAAGCTTACAGGATGGTTTGTAATTTCGTACAATTTTAATCAAGTCTAGTGATTTCAGTATAACAAAAAAAATCATGAAAAACATACCTGAAACAGAAAATAATGTTTTAGTGACAACCATCATATGTTTTGACGAAATAAATCATAGTTTAGGTCAATTACTTTTCATTCTATGATGCCCGGTGCACAATTCTATATTCCATGTACAATTTTGTGATGACCGATGATGCACTAATTTTTTGACAAGTGAATTTTTTATCGCCAAGTGGGGTAAATGTAATCAAAATTCTTTGTTGTTAATCATTTTTTTGTTAACTGGAGCCTTTGCCAAATGAGGTTCTACTGTAAATGCATTTTTAAGGGTGTCCCTAATTACCCCGGATGGGTGTCCTGGGTAGCCCCACCGTGTGGAAATAGCTGCCATTTTTTTTTTTGAATGAGATAGGCAAATTCTGTCAGTTACGTTTTCAAGCCGACATCTGGGTGCAACTTTTATGTAAGTAAAATTTTTCAATATGAAATTTTCAATATGTAAGTAAAATTTTTTTTGCTCCAGACCTTAGCAGAGGTACTTTTACAAAATCGCACATTTCACCCTTTTTTTCAGCAATTTTTTAGAGATGGAAAATGTTTGATTTATTGACTAGCTTTATATATAATACATACCTAGTAAAAATGTTGAAGTTTATGCCACTATTTTTAGTTTTGCAATATTTTGATTAGTTTAGCTGCTACAACATTTCTACGAAATGTGGGACGCACGTCCCTATTTACCCCGCCCGTCCCTTTTTACCCCGTTTACGGTAGTTGTTTCATCATGAGGAAAATTAAAACTCACATGATGACTATTCCAAGGAAGTTACTGCAGCCTAATACTTATTCAACTATTTTCCTCTTCATTGTGGTTGGTCCAGAATTTTGTCCATCTTTAATCATAAGCAAATAAATTTTCTTCCCATATTGTGAATGATTTTTTGTTTAAACCACAAGATTTATGCTAGATGGCCTATGTAGTATATACATCTGGTATGATTGTTAATGAAAGAGAAACTGTGAAATATCCAGATGCAAGATTCCTAAGTTGCCACTTAAGGCAAGTCTGGGACAAATGAAGCCGCAAGATCTCGATAAGAAGTGCAAAAATTTCAATCCTGATTCTGGAATAATACTTAATATCTTACCAGCTAAGTAATAACTTAGTAGGCATCACATTGGATGAATAATGAAATTAAATTTTCATTTTATAGTTGGCAAATATTTCTATTATAAGGAAGATACAGACATAGATCAATATTCAATAGATGAGCCATTAACACCATAATTCCCTATGCCTGAAAGCCTGGGCCCTGATAGCTAGCTGATACATGACTTTATTGTCAATGACACACAAGATCAATGTCACTCAGCAGCAGAAACTGCATTTAATTCACAGCTCATCAATCAAATGATAATGTTGAGAAATTAGATTTCTGTTATTTGATCCAAATTCTAGATAGGCTACCGGTACTTGTATAATTTTTTTTTAAAATATAGTTTCTTTTGGAGCTGGTAACAAAAGTGCTATGGCAACATTAGTGCAATGGAATGAATTGATGCCTGCAGCCTGACAGTTATTTCATAGGGTATACCAATAATATTTTTAGGGGCCACATTCTGGCAAATTAATTCTTTATTGAGTGCTTTTAATTGTTTGAATTGATTTTATTCTTTGTGCCCCCAGTGCCTTAATAATAAACAAGTGACAGCTAGTTAAAGTTAAATTAGTGCATGTGAAGCAGGGTTTTAATCACTTTTCCATAGTCCTGCATGTCTTGCACTCATACTGACCTGCTACTCATCCATGCTGGCTGTAAATGAGCATGCTTTCTGTCCCTGACTACTGCTTGCTGATCTGTCACTAATCTTCCCCAAGACTATCACGGCTCTTTATAGGTGAGTCAAGGGAACACTCTTGCCATGCATCTCAGTCCTAAATTTTATAGGTAAATGTTTGTATATATTGTCAATCATCCCTTTAAATTGTTCTAGAGTTTAGTAGTAGGTAGTTCAATGTGTATTTAGGTGTTTTATGTGTTCCAAGTGTTTGTGTGTTCCAAGTGTTTGTGTGTTCCAAGTGTTTGTGTGTTCAAAGTGTTTGTGTGTTCAAAGTGTTTTATTGTTGGGTAGGCTTTATGTGTTCTTGTTCCTGCTTTTCGCAGAGCAGCCAATTTGGAGCGTGTTCTGGGCCAGGTTGGGGCTAGTGGATCCCACGCTGAGCTGGGGACCAGGGCTTAGGCATCTCCCATTTTACTCTAGAGGTTTTCATGCAGGGTATGGTTCACAGTCAATTGCAAGTAATGTTTGACAATAAGCTGCATGGCTTGTTATGAATTGTTCCAGAAAATTTTTTTTCTTCTTCATCTTCTGAAAAGAAAGCTAATATTTAGTATTGATGCATTGAAATTTTCAGTGGCCAAGGTTTCATCATGAAAACCATACCTGAAACAGAAAATAATGTTTTAGTGACAACCATCATATGTTTTGAAGAAATAAATCATAGTTTAGGTCAATTACTTTTCATTCTATGATGCCCGGTGCTCAATTCTATATATAGCATTTTATGTACAATTTTGTGATGACCGATGATGCACTAATTTTTTGACAAGTTAATTTTTTTTACCAAGTGGGGTAAATGTAATCAAAATTATTTGTTGTTAATCATTTTTTTTGTTAACTGGAGCCTTTGCCAATTGAGGTTCTACTGTAAATGCATTTTTAAGGGTGTCCCTAATTAACTGGGATTGGTGTCCTGAGTAGCCCCGCCGTGCGTAAATGGCTGCCATTTTTTTTGAATGAGATAGGCAAATTCTGTCAATTAAGTTTTCAAGCTGACACCTGGGTGCAACTTTTATGTAAGTAAAATTTTTTAATACAGCGAATATTTTTTTTGCTCCAGACCTTAGCAGAGGTACTTTTCTAAAATCGCACATTTCACACTTTTTTCAGCGATTTTCTAGAGATGGTTAATGTTTGATTTCTCGACTAGTTTTATACATAATAAATAGTAAAAATGTTGAAGTTTATGCCACTATTGTTAGTTTTGCAATATTTTGATTAGTTTAGGTGCTACAACATTTTTACGAAATGTGGGACGCGTGTCCCTATTTACCCTGCCCTTCCCCTTTTACCCCATTTGACGGTAGTTCATATTTGATGTTTTGGCCAGGCTCAATCCTATGGCTCTGAGAACACTTGGAGCAATGGCAGCGATCACTTGCAGCGTTGCAGGCAACATTCCTCAACACCTA